CTGAATGGACCAAAAATAAAATATAAGAGAAAGGGAGAGGTAAGATCAAACTGATACACAGTGGAGAAAATGACTCCCATATATGGACAAATAGACTGTGTATTGCTGAGCATCAAAATTGCCCGCCTAGTGACAAGTAAGCTTTTACAAACCAATAGATAACCATAGCACTGAGATGAGAGAAGCTCCAGACCAAGCATGCCCAGTGTATTCTTTCTTATTTCCCAATTTAATCACTTACACAGCCTGCGAAGGGTTGAATAAGTGCAAAGATGGAGGGTACCAGAAGGGTTTTACCTTAGAGACATTTCTACATGGAAGGAAACATCAGGTGAAGAGAAGCATCCTCCCTATGTGCATGAAGTCAGGCAGACGGAGGGCAATGAAGATAAGAAGCCCACAAGAAGTCTGAAGCAGGGCTCTGAGTGCTATCCGAGGAGAAGGTGAGCTGGGGGTGGGTTGGATGGACAAAGAAAAGGAAGACATCAAGAGGAGGAAGATTTTCTCATGTAAGAGAATAAAGCTGATTCTCCCTGTCAGTCCAGGAGCTCCTTTAATGTGATGGTTCTGTTTTAATAAAAATTTGACTTTGCGCATATCAAGGTTTCCAAAATATTTCATATACATTTTAAAATTAATACACTTAGAACACTGTAAGATAAATAGTATTTTACTCAATCCAGGGTTCTGACAGCAAGCTTACAGACAACGCTATCTTTCCATATATACTCAGAAAAATAGATGTGGATTATCTTTTTGATTCTGTTATTATTTAAAAGAAAGATGAGTGGGTTGTCATTGTCATCTCACAAGTGATGGCTCCTGAGATTCTAATAGGGCAATTAAAAGAAAGCGCAAGATCCTCTTCGTAAGAATGAAATGATTGTAATAATTTATCTGTGTGTTTGACTTAGTGCTATTCCAATTCTGTGACATGATTTGGCTCTTTAGGACTCTTTAATACAGGGGAAAATTCAAAGCCGGAATAAGAGTCATAAAATATTTAAGAAAACATGTATTTCACATCAGTGCTAAGTTGTGATTTATATGGCCATTTCATCAAATCATTCAAAAATAGCATTTAAGACAAGAAAGCTGAATCTTAGCTTTTTTATTTTTTTCTCAAATATGTACTTGTCCCTGGTCTGCAGCAGGACACCCTCCAATATTCCTTAGGCCTTAATTAAATAAGAGCAGGAGAGAGCACTGGGCTTGAGTTCAGGATAAATATCCTCAGCTTGAACAAGAGATGTTACTTTAATGACTTGGAATATGTCCAGAAAGCTCAGACTGGCTAGCAGGCAAATCTGACAGCTACTGGATCTTGCGGCAATAACATTCTAGCCAATTAAAAGCTGAGCTAGAAATAATGGTTTGTCACTGAGTGCTGTTTCAGAAACCAATTGGTCCAGAGTAACCAGGGGATTAACTTTTCTAACTGAATTTAAAGGTCACAGGAATCTGACTTGAATGAAAGAGAAAAGCATTCAACGAGAAGAGGAAAACTTACCTATAGAAATTAGGTTAACAGATCTTGCTGTGTTATTTATAGACAACTGATAAAATTGCTGTCTTATTTTATGGCAGGACTTCATGATCAAGGATAAATATATTCGTTACTTTTAAATGAGCAATCAGTTACTCCTTAGAGATTCCTCTCACAGAAGGGGCATAGATCTTGGTTTCCAATATCCACAAATGTGTGCAGGTTTACCTTAGCAGATAAGTCCCGTCTATTTCTGAGTGATTCTTAACTTTGATGGAATCAAAATCAAGTCGATGGAGACACCTGGGATGAGCTCTCTGGATGGTACTTGCATGGGTAAGGCCGCAGCTGTTTCGCGTTCTCCACAGGGCTGCTGAAACAGGTGTGTGGAAAAGAAGGTTCTAGTGCCCTTGGTACTCCTTGCAAAGTGTTCACTCATTGTATTGGTGTTGACTTCCTCTTTGAAGAGACCATTCCTTAAAGATCTGTCTTCCTGCAGTACTTAACCCCACAGCATTCACCCCTGTGGGAAACTGTGTCCATCAACCCATCCCATATAAGTGAAAGTAGACTGCTATGAATGGAGAAATCTTGAAATATACCTTAGTTGAATTACTGGTGTGCAGTTAAATGATGAATGGTCTCCACTTAAAGTTGTTTGCTGTCTTAGCACAATGCCTGATATATAGTGTGTTTTAACAAACACTGACCTAGAGAAGGTTGGGGAAGGTAAGATTTAAAGAGAAAGGGAGGAAAAAGAGTAGAAGAGTAGTCTGAGGGAAGCAAAATATTGCTACTGACTAGAAGGAATTGAAATGCCCAACTAATTCAGTCAATTTCAGCCCCGTCATACATCCATGGAACTAGAGTTAGGTGAACTAGACTCGGCTGTGAAGAGCACTTTGCATCAGAGGTTTGCGAAAGACCTTGACAAGATGACACTTCAGTTGCTTAAAGGAAGCATTTTGATCCCTCTCTCTGAAATGTGACTACAGCTCCCAAAAGGAACCAGTTGATCCTACACAAGTCAAGCAAGGATTACCATGGATCTATCAATAGACATTCAGGGCACAGGCAGCTTCCTCAACACTCCACTTTGGCTGGTTGCTTAATCTGTAGTCTGGCTGGAAAGTGCCTCATGGTGGAAACTAGATTTTGTACCCACATCCAGGAGTGATTTTCAACTGATGAGTGCTGGTTTGGATGACTGTTGAGACTATTCTGTACCAGTGGTAAATACCTGTTGCCAAAGCCTCCTCCAGCAACACTCATTGCTCTCTACCTTGCTGCCTGAGCCTTCCCTCAATATTCCACAGCTAAAGATTAATGCCTGACCCAGCAGGGTCCTCCAGAACCCTGAACCACTGGTGTCTATTCTTAGGGGTACATTATTACATAGTTTGAATATTGCTGCATTTCTTATCTTAGCAGCTATTCGGTACTTTTATGGATTTCCTCCTTATTGATTCATCCCAGAAAGCTCACCATATGGACTTGTTACAATTATTGGACTTATTCCACTACAAAAGCAGTTAGGACCAATTTTCTTCATATAAAATGCACTTGGCTGACTGAATTGTCTACACTGGTTAGGTAGGGGGACTGAATTAACCAGATAGTTGGAAATCTCACTTTTTTCTAGGTATGGTCTTGAGAGCTTGCTTGGAGATTCTAGCAGGGGAGCACAGCTACTCCTATACCCTTGACTGAGGAACGGTCCTCTCTATTGGGAGTGGTTGTCCTCTTGGACTGACTGCACAGCTTCAGGAAGTACACACATGGAATGCTGAGGGAGGAAGGGGACTCTGCCTGGCCAGCCAGATCAGCCGAATCAACCCTGGCAATCAGTACAATGACAGATGTTGCAGCTGGATTGCCCTCACATCCCATTTCTAGGTATAATTTTACTGTTAGCATTATGTGGCAAAAATAAATAAAAAATAAATAACCCTTTCAAACACTCCTAGCATTAGGAGAATTACCTTTGTCAATAGCTCATTTTCCAAAGCTAGCAATTTTTTTTCTCTTTTAAATCGGTTTTACTAAAATCATAAAAAATAACTAAGACCAAATTAATTGACAAATTTTCATATTTTAAACCAGTAGTAAAAAAAAAATACCTTTCCTGTAAATCTCTACCTCAAACTAAATTTCCCTCGTGGTTGGTGACAGAATGAGGCTGAGTAGAATGGTGTTTGGTCCATTCTCAGAATCAGTGGAGCTACAGTTGATAAATACTTCTAAAAGCACATTCAACAAACACAGATTGAGTTACTGTTATGGGCTGTAACATCTTTTTGGTTGTGCCAATTAAGCAGTAAGCAAAACATAGTCTTTTCCTTCCTGAAGCTTAAAAATAATCCTGAACTACTATTCTGTTTACTGCAAAAGAATCAGAAATTCCTTCAAAATTTGAAGAGTCTAAAAAAGATTCTGCTAAGTTATTTTTAATCTTATTTTTCACTTGTCCTAGTCATCATAGTTTTCATTCTAGTTCCTGGGAATGAGTAAACCCAGGAAGAAGAAAGACAATCTCAGAAAGATACTTCTGGGTGTTTTACCATTTATTTATCTACAGGTTGTCTACAGAAGGAGCGTGGTTGCTGGTTTTGGTAAAATGCACAGAGCTCAGGAGGATGTCTCCACGGGGAACCACCCCAGCACTGCGCTGAGTCAGCCCTCATCCTGGCTGCTTTGAACAGGAAACGGTTCTTGCCCCTCTTCATCTGTGGAATTTCTATGTTCCTGTTATATGCAGACTAACTCCTTTTCCATATACTTCCTTATCCACATGTGATATCAAGGAAAAAATCCAGGATGTTATACAGCTGTCTTAGTTTTCCCATGAGCTTCAACAGAATACCATAGGTGGAGTGCCTTAGAAATGTATTTCTCACTGTTCTGTGGGTTAGAAAGTCTAAAACTAAGATGCCTGCAGAGTCTATGAAGGTGAGGATCCACTTCCTTGTAGATGCCACCTTCTTGCTATGTCTGCACAGAATGGAAAAGGAAAAGCAGTTTTCTGGGGTTTCTTATATAAAAGCATTAATATCATTCAATAGGGCTCTACCTTCATGATTTAATCACCTCCAAAGGCCCTACCCGCTAAAGCCATCGCTATGAAGAACAGGTTTTAACATGAATTGGGGGCAGGGGGTAACATAAACATATAAACCATAGCAACAGCCCTGTAAAGACCAACACTCTCCTTCAAAGCCTTACTCAAGTGCTCGAGTACTGCTTGCTCCAGGAGCTCTTCTCAGATTCCCTGGGGTGTAAATGTCTCTTTTGCCTATCTTGCACGATTTAGGTTTCCTACAGCCGACCTTGAGTTCAGGGTTCTTTGTGTGTATATCTGCCTCTTCTCCTAAAGTATGGGCCTCTAGAAGGCAAAGGCTGTATTTTAATCATTTTAAGAAAATTTTCCACTTCCCTCTTCCTTCCTTCCTTCCTTCTTTCTTTCTTCTTCCTTCTCTCCCTCCTTCCCCCTTTTTTCTCTTTTTCTTCTTTCTTTTTTGGAGGGGGCAAAGGGGCTGATTTGAATAAACCTCCGTGTCGGAAAGCCAAGGAAATCCGAAAAGAAAGGAAAATGTTAAAACTCATGCAGCAAAACCCAGCTGGAGAATTTGAGGGTTTCCATGCTCAAGGTCAGGCACCATCTTCGTTCCCACCAAAGGCTAAATCGAACCAGCCCAAATCACTTGAAGATTTAATATTTGAATCTTTACCAGAGAATGCATCACACAAGTTAGAGGTGAGGTTAGTACCTGTCTCCTTTGAGGACCCAGAGTTCAAGTCATCCTTCAGCCAGTCCTTTTCTTTATATGTCAAGTATCAAATGGCCATACACCAGGATCCACCTGATGAATGTGGGAAGACCGAGTTCACAAGATTCCTTTGCAGTTCACCTTTGGTGGCAGAGAACCCCCCTACTGGACCAGAATGTGGTTATGGCTCCTTTCACCAGCAGTACTGGCTTGATGGAAAGATTATTGCTGTGGGGGTGATTGACATCCTTCCATACTGTGTGTCCTCTGTATATTTGTACTATGACCCTGATTATTCATTTCTGTCCTTGGGTGTCTACTCTGCATTACGAGAAATTGCTTTTACTAGGCAACTTCATGAGAAAACATCTCAACTCAGCTATTATTATATGGGTTTCTACATTCACTCATGTCCCAAGATGAAATATAAGGGTCAGTATAGACCTTCTGATTTGTTGTGTCCTGAGACATATGTTTGGGTACCCATTGAGCAGTGCCTGCCTCCACTTGAAAACTCCAAGTACTGCCGTTTCAACCAGGACCCAGAAGCAGTGGATCAAGGTCGCAGTAAGGAACCTGACCGAGTGCGGGTGTTTCACAAGAAAGCCATCATGCCTTACAGTGTTTATAAGAAACACCAAAAAGACCCAAGCGAGGAGGCCACTGTGCTGCAGTACGCGAGCCTGGTGGGGCAGGTGTGCTCTGAGAGGATGCTGCTGTTCAGAACCTGAGCCAGCGCCCCGTGCCTCCCCCTGGGGCCTTGAGCCCTGTGCCCAGGGGAGAGGCTGCAGCCACCCTCGGAGTAGACTTTCTCAGTTTCACCGTCGTACAGCTTTTCTAAAAGATTTTGTGGCAATGTATTTGTGAGACTCTCATGGTTAATACAAAGATTTTAAAACTATGTTATGACATATAGGCTGTAATTGGGGTTTGTCATTGTGGAAGTTTGTAGAGCAAAACACGCTAAGCTTCTCTAGTTAACATTTTGGGAAGAAAAATTAAGATGTGATTAAGTACTTTAATCACAGTCATGTTATTTTTGTTGTTAGAGAAATTCAAGCAGACTTTCCTCAGATCCATTCACACAGTGGTTTATCCTGCGAAAGTTTAAGTACAATGAAGAAGTGTGGAAAGTACGTTTCATCACTTAGAAAATATATCTTCACTAGAGAGCAAAACTGTGCTGTCACTCAGTGTTCAGTGTTAAACTACTGCCATATGTTATGTTGGGTAATTAATAGAGAAGTTGAAAAAGAATATAAACATGACAAAGACATCTTGTGTTTGTAGTGGGTGTCCATTTGTCCAAGAGGTCCTGTTCATGTCTGTCTTCTTGGCATCATTTTGTCTCTAGAATAATTGCTACCAGTGCTGCCATTTACTTTCAGAAGTATCTCAGTGTGGGCAATAAAATGTGTAATTACTCCAGTGATACATTAAAAAAAAAAAAAAGAAAATTTTCCAGAGTGTATAACGCAGTGAGTTATGTACAGTAGTCACAAATGGAATGGAATGGGATGGGATGGGATGGGATGGGATGGGGGATGGGATGGGATGGAATGGAATGGAATGGAATGGAATGGAATGGAATGGAATGGAATGGAATGGAAAGGAAAGGAATGGAATGGAAAGGAATGGAATGGAAAGGAATGGAATGGAATGGAATAATTTAGCATTAGTTCAATCTTTCATCAGTGGCTTGAAAAATCGAAAAGAAAAAGGTCGGGTCAAGCTGAACCATGTTCATGTCACAATATACTGTATCACACATAAAGACTATTCAATGTATTTGTTTCAGGCTTCGTATAGAACATTCCTTCAATTCATAGATATACTGTACATTAGAGTGCCGAAGGGAATTCCACATGAGACTCCCTGTCTAAAGTATATGGAGTTTGCAGAATTACCTACACTTTATGGGACCTCCCAAATGAGGGGAATAAAGTACATCAAACTTTTTTTGAGAGCCACTGGAGAGGAGTAAAATACAAAAAGGTAATCATGCAGTAGTAGCGGCAAACAGGCTCCCTAAGTTGTGTCAAACTGCCTGACTAGTGAGAGCCGTGTTCAGGGCGTCTCCCCTGCTGGATTCTCTCTGCTGCCTCTCTCTCTCTCTCTCTCTCCACTGCCTTGGGAGGCTTGTTCTCATTAAGAGGGATGGGAAACTAGCCACATCATTACATTCACTTAAAGTAGAGTTTAGCTGGCCAGTTTTGCTACTGTTAGTAATAGGTGCCACTTTGGGATTTTGAGTTCTTATTGGCATTATGGTTTGGGCTGGGATTTTTATTTGTCTTACTTTGAAATTTACATGTCTTCAGAACAACTAAAATTCACAAGAACAAACTAATTAATGGATTCCATTTTTGACAGCTACAAGAAGACAGATGAGAAAGTAACATGCTTCTGGCAGCGTGTTATCAATTGGGAGGCAACAGTGCATTCCCTCTATGTGGAACAGTGAGCTGGAACCGACACTGACAGATGACACGGCCCTTTGACAGTGACGCCTGTACGAGCTGACAGCTCCACTTGCAGTCAGTCAAGCCCGCGCTTTGCAGTGGAATTTTAACGGGCTTGATTTGCAGAATGTGCTTTGCCTACTTCTCGGCTTGTAGAAGAAGTGAATAAAAATCTCAAAGCATTCACATTAAAAGTGAATTCTAGATCTGTTACCCAACCTTCTTTTACCCTTAAAGCTAACAGGAATAACAGTAAATAAAGCATAATTTTGGGAGGCGAGATCTGTAGGACATCTAGGAAAGGGAAAATTCTTCCCTCAAACTTAAGTTTTCTATATAGCAAGGTAATTGACATATTAGTCAAAATCCTTTTGCTTATTAATTGCATAGAAACTGTTTCCAAATATTAAAAAATATTTTTCCTTAAAATAATTAGTCTTGCCAATTCACTTCCAGGTTTAGGTCATATTTTCATTTTACATTTTTTGCAATCTATTCATTTTGAACAAAATGTGTGCATAAAACTGATTTCCTCTGTGACTTTTTTAAAGTTACTATTCTGTGTTTCAATTCCTTCTCCAATAAAATGTAGCTAATCACCCTGTCACCACCAACATCCCTCACAGGCTCAGAGCAAGAAATAAGGGCACGGGGGTTGCAAACTAGTGACTGGAAGGCCAAATTGGACTGGCAGTGTTGTGAATTTTTGCATTTGAATGCCCCTAGGCTGGGCAGGCACCCTCCAGTTTACATAGCCTCTGCTCCCTGTCTAACACTGTGTCTCTTTGCACGTTTATGTAACTTGCCTGGGCCCTGAAGGCAATTGAGTTTGTGACCAGGGCATCATCAACCAATATATTTTCACTACTCCTCATGGAAACACATAATGACCCACATTGTTGGTTTCAAAGGATGCAACATTAATTGAAGAAATAAACTGAATGTGTAGTGTGCATAGACAATTACAAATGAACTAGACAAATATAAAGAACAGCTAAAGTGTAAAGTTACGATTGACCTGTAAAGGTAGAATAAAAACTAGTTATTCCAACAGTGATAAACTAGTGCTGAGACACAAACATTGCAACAGTCCTCACTAGTCCTCTCCTTTTCCAACAAAGAAACATAAATTAGAGAGCAAAGACTGCAAAAATAAACAGGTCAGGCAAAATTAAACAACCCACGTGCTTATCTAGTCGTTTAAGATAACCCAACTTGTATGGTTTGAGTGTTTGACCCCTCCAAAACTCACATTGAAATCTGACTTCTATTGGAACAATATTAAAAGGTACGGCTGTTAAGAGCTCCTTAGACCACGAGAGCTCTGCCCTCAGGAGTGGGATTCGAGCTACTATAAAAAGGTAAGCTTTGTCCTCTCTCACATTCTTACCTTCCAGAATGTCACAACAAGAATCTGGCCCATGCCAGATTCTGACACCTTTATTTTGGGTTTTCCAGTCTTCAACTAATGGACCCTTGGAGGATACTCAAAGTACACACAAGCCATGGCACACGCTCACCTTCATATCTCTTATAGTTATAAATGACTAAAGAAAATGACAGGGAAGGCATATACAAAGAAGAAAATTTGAAATGTCTTGAAGAAGGAATGGTTCGTAGGTTGCTAGAGGAAAGGATGAAATTTTAGGCACAGAGAAGAGTTTGTGTAGAAGTTCAGGTAGGAGAAAGGCTGTTAGAATGGAGCCCATGCATTTCATAATAAGGAAAGAAAAGGCTGAGTTCCCTAGATTAACCATATATACAGAGCATTACAGCTGCCAATTTGAAAGGAAACACATTTCACAGACTGCGTACAAAAGCCGAGTAAAATATAATGACCTTCCATTTGTTTTATGATAATTAGACATTTATTTCATAAAGTAAGTACTGTCATTATACCATGACCCATGATAAAAAGGAAAACTTCTGAGTTTACATTTCACCCATCATAACCTTGAATATGAAAATAAACTTACATGCTCCATTAACTAGAAAATAATTCCCTTGCATGCTTTGAATTTGCCTAGGGTGTGGTTCACAGTGAGAGCAAGTTAAGTTGATATGCTCAAAAAATTCTAATTAAGAAAACAAGGTAATTTCAAAGGTATGATGTTTAATCAAAGGTATGATGTATTAAGAGCAGCATTTTAATGTGTGATTTTTCCATCTCGTGATTTATTGAAATTCCATATGTATTTTTGAAATTTAACTTTGTAACTTATATATCAATTAAATCTCATTGGTGAACATCTTATCCCATAGATGAAAATGGGGGCTGGGGATTTAGCTCAGCGGCAAAAGCGCCTGCCTGGCAAGTGCAAGGTCGTGAGTTCGGTTCCCGGTACCAGAGAAAAAACAAAAAAACAAAACCATAGATGAAAATGATCATAGGTTGATAAAGGGTATTTGATTGTGCCCTGTATACTCAGAATAATGTTTCAGTGAGTATTTGTTGGGTATCTATGTGCTATGCTCCTTGGTGGGATTCATCTGACCCAGCTCTTCCTCTTCTAGGTATCTTCCTAAAAAAGCTAAAGTTGTCATATTAGAGATCCATGCACACCCATGATTACAGCTGCACAATTCATAACAGCTAAATCTGTATATCCATCAACAAACAAATCTCTACATAACAGAATATTACTCAGCTATAAAGAAGGATAAATTTGAGACATTTGTAAACAAATAGATACATCTAGAAACTATAATGTTAAGTGAAGTAAATCAGACACAAAATCTTAAGCACTTTATGGTTTCTCTCCTTTAAGCAATGCAAAGTACAAATAAAGAGCAAAATAAAAGACACATAAAAGGAGACAGGGAGGTAGGTCTTTCCCAAACAGGAAGAGGACCAAGAGACTGAAGCATGCAGTGAGGGAAGTGAAGATTTATGATGTCATGTACATGTACTAACTGCCCACAATGCATTTATTACAATGTATTTATTACACAATTAATTTATTCCATCATAAAGAATGTAAACTTATGTGTTCTAAACATAGCTAACATAATAAGGATGATGGTGATGATGATGAAAATCGGCAAAGGGGATCTAAAAATGGAGGGAGTGAGGTGAGTGAGGAAGGGAAGGGATCCAAAAAAGCTGGGTTGTGTTAAGTACATGCACACTCCCTCTGATCCGTGTAAATGTCTTATACTCCAAACATGTACTACGAGTAAAAAAGACATCATCTTTTCCCACTAATGAAGAATTTGTTCGCATGAAATAGATGACTGCATAAAACAATATTTTTTTCAAGTTAGTGCTTCTTGCTTTCTCTTTTTTCTTGAATCTCTGAACATTCATTTTTTTCATTTGCAAAGTCTTTGACTATTTATGCAAAATAAAAAAGGGTTATAATATCAAGCATTCTGACTACATAAGAATTTTAAATAAGATGGATACATTGCAAATTATAAAGAAAATTTCCACTATGGATGAAAAATTAAGGGAACTGAAACTTATATAAATAACACTAGTAAGGGAGCCAGGGAGGGTTCACTTTACACAGGATGCCCACATGCCCAAAGGCACTCAGGATGCTTGTCAGATGTCCCACTGCCACTTATGCAACCTACAGATCATTGCTTTCACTCAGTGTAATGTAAAGCCTGTTAGCAGGAAACCCAGCATCCCATTGTATTGGAGTGAGGAAATTAAACCATCCAGTTAATAGAGTGTGAGATAGGTCAACCTGCTATGACAGGACTCCCACACACCTGCCTGTATTTTTTTTTTTAACAGGATAGCAAATAGACTTTGTGTGGACCTCACCCTGAGCCTGTCAGCATTCAAGACAGGATTACAGATAGCAGAGACCAGAATGCATCACTCTTGCATTCAATGAGCTTCATGTTCAAGGCATTAATCTTAAAATTAAACAACAATTCCTTCCCATTATTTCTATATACCTAAACCAAATTATTATGATTTTCCAGTGAAATCATTATGTGGAATTATAGTGGTCAA